CCCCAAAACCCCAAAACCCCAAAACCCCAAAACCCCTATAAAAGTTAGGAACATTGAAATTGTCAAGAAATAAAATGGATTTACCAAAGTGCAGAAATAAGAAATGCCCGAACATTTCTACTTTCTACTTAGAAAGTAAGAAACTGTATGTTTGCCAGAGCTGCTGTCATTCTAAATACTCGAAGGTAAAGCCAGAGTTACTAGTCACGGCTGGAGTCCCCCAAAACATGCTGAAAACTCTTGGGGAATGTATTAAACTCTTTTCATTCAGCATTGATGAAGATGATGATGAGGAACTCATGGAAGAATGCAAGTCTCTGATATCTAAATATGATGAAGAAATTAACCAACTTGAAGATAAACTACAAAAAGCTATTGCTGAGGAAGCTTACCATGAGTTTATCCACGTTCAAAGTAAAGCTCAAAATATTTTTAGTGAACTAAAGAAAGAGCCTCTTTACATCGAGTTTTCTTCACAGAAAATCTATGATCAGACTTCAGAGAGAGTCACTGCTGGAGGTCCAGGTCCTGGACACGAAGATGAACCCGAAGATCCAGCTTTTCTCTTATATGATGTTGAAGATTCTGATACTAAGAAACTCCTTTCTCAAAATATCCAAGAGATGAAGAAGTTCAAAGGCAAACTTGAAGAAGTTATGAACAATGAGGCAAAGCATGATGAGGTAAAAGATCTGTATGAACCGCTTAATTATAACATCCAATCACTCCTCGAACACATCGAGGACCTGACGAGAAATAAAGATGAAGAGATTAGAAAATATGCAGAATTATACAAAAGTGAACTCGAACAAAAAGGAGAAATGATCAAAATTCTCCACGAACAAGCTGAAAATGATGCTAAAAGACTCAAGCAACAAGCGAAACAAACAGAGCAAGAACTTGAAGAAAATGAAGAAAAGGTGAAGGGACTACTCTCGATGCAAGAAGAAATCGACTCTAAGCTATTTCAAGGACCTCCTCCCAAGATCGATGAACAAATCACCAATCCTGGAGATGTCTCTTACACAAATGATGAGTTCAATAATTTCCACGAAATAGTCCTAGGCAAGAAATGTTCTATCAGTATAAACTTTGATATTGGAATCACTTGTAACGATGAAACTCAATTCGGCCTCATAGAATCACCTCGAAAGAGGTTCCCTCCTCTACATAGAATTTGTCTAAATAATGTTAAGGAGGAGGACAAAGAAAAGATCGTATTTTTTATGAAGAACTTTTTGCCCAAGAAGTTCAGGATCTTTAGTATGTGTTGGGGATCTGAGCTTGCCAACATAGATGGCTATTTTAGCCATATTATTGGTCTAAAGCCTTCCATAATCAGAGCTCTGAGGTTATGGAACTTCAGGATATCACAGAGGCACATTGTTAGGATATTCACGACATTCAAGCATTTAGAGGAGATCTCTCCTCACAAATCCATTTTAGATATTAACTCTGTTCCAAATTTGGAGCATCGCATGAAGGAATCTAGAATTAAGAAGGTGAATGTTTACCAGTGTGGCTCAAAAGAGCGTGGAGACTGGGAGAATGATAACAGCCCTCTTCTAAACCTCCTAGCTGGGCTAGCGCAGTCTGAAGACTTTAGAATTGGCTTGGAACTCTTCTATGCTGTTGGCTGTGATATTACAAAAGAGGAGTTAAGGAAAATTTTAGAGGACAACGGATTTGGTCATGTTCAGGATAATTTGTAAGGATAGAATTGAATTCAATTTTGATGGGGCAAAGTGGGGTTTTGGGGTTTTGGGGTTTTGGGGG